GAGCTCTCACTGTTGGCACTGTGACGTACCCGCAAATAATAATAATGCCGGAGTTTTGTTGTTTTTGTTTTCTGTTTCCAGCCATTGGCTCAACCTGTTTCTAATTTTCCGCTGTAACTTTGTCGGTCTCTCTTGACCGCGCAGCTGGTACTTCACCTTTCTGAAGCCTGCGCAGGGCCCCTCTCCCATGAACTGTTGGTCGGCCCTGGCAGGGAAGAATTCGGTTCCTTGCTCCTTTCTGTGCATAGAACCCGCATCGCAAACAGATCAGAGTCCCAAATCTCTGATGGACTCTGATAGCGTGTGACACATGCAACTCACGACCGTTAAAGACCTGAGTTCCCGTTGGCGAGAGCACCACGTCTCTCATTAAACTCTTCACACAGGGAGTGTCGAGGAAACGATTCAACTCCCTCGTCGGCGCGGATCCTCCACACTCCCTGCACCTAACTCTGGAGCCTAAGATGTGCGCACCATTGTGCTCCGTGATCTGGATACTGCTAGCTTCCCTTTTCTTTCTCTCAGACAGGGCTCTCCTACTGGGCTGATGCCTAGGCACTGTCTCAATCACATTCTCCAGGACCTTGGCTAAATGTTTCCTGACCGAAAAACCTACAGCCGTCGCCATTTCTACCCTGCACCTGTCGGCAAACGAAATTCTGAACTCCTCCGCCAGTCTGCTCGCTGCCGTATCCGCGATAGCGTTGACAAAAAGGGTGGCGGGATCTACTCTCTGCTCAAGCGCATCCTCTGCACTAAGGTGGCTCTCTACCTTCAGCACGCGAATCCCTCTGCTTGAGTGCTGGGACAGTGTCTCACCTAGACGCCGCCAGACATCTACATGTGTGTCAGGAAACTTGCCTACCCTTAGCTTCTCGACCCCATCGCATGACATATTCGGAGTCCGTCACATAAATGGCGTGCGCCAGCGGAAGGACTGCAGCTGCAAACTCTAGTAACGCCGTGGTTTCACCACGGTTCACTGTCTGAAAAAAAAAAGCCTGGCCGATTCCCTCCCTGCAAGTGCCCCAACCTCAACTCCCCCACGTCGTAACTCCCGTCCTCACGGAAACCGCCTAGGGTAGCAAAGGCCCAGGCCACTCGGCGCAGCTTGGGATCCTGATCTTTCCCTCCGCTGGCGTCTCCTCCTCCAAAGATGACGCCTGGTTCGCCAAAAACTTGGTGGCTCGACCTACCAAAAACATAGCTGATGTCCTCCTCTGTCGGCTCTGGGACACATGTCCACGTGGATGGCACCAATCGTCGAATCCACATGCTGGGCATACTATCCTACTATCCGACTCTATCCGCGCTTTGGCAATTATGTTGCTGGAAATCGTCTGAAACTCCTGATTGGTCGGGCATTCCCAGCATCGATGCTTGTCTGTTTCTGGAGCCTGCCCGCAGCGAGGGCAAACGGCGTCAGGCTCCAGGCCATGCTCGAAAAGTCTCTGCCTACACCATGTTGCTCCTGTCATGACGCACTGCAAAAGGCTTTTCCACTTAAAACCGCTACGCTTTAAAGCCATGCGGCACTGTCGTCGGGGGCCTTTCATGTCGGGCACAAGCTGCAACCCTTCCCCCATCCAGGAGTTCTTGGCAGCCCTCGCCCAGAGTCTCCTACTGATACTGTCAGCTATGCATGCATACAGAATGTGCGGCTTGTCGAGGGGGCCTCTCCCGAACATCTCCTCAGGGGCCTCGAAGGTCTCTCCGATGTCACTGCGCCATCTCCATGGCCCTTCTGGATTCCAACCAAGATCGAGCATGGTACAGATCGTGGCTGCCATGGGTGAGCACACCCGCCTCCAGCGGTGCCTGGGGGCCTTGCTGCTTAAATTGGCTAGCGATCTGCCCCAGCCCCGCTGCACACGCTCTACGTTCACTCTCAAATCACCTAGAATGGAGAACCACATCTGGACTACATCAAAAACTGCTGCGTATGCTGGATCCTGCGTGCCGTATTCTAGCGCTAGGAGGGTCGTCAAGCAACGGCCGTGTTTTCTCCTGCTTGACAGGTCGGCCATTGCTCGCCTCCAGCGCTGCACTATGCTGGGAGCTGTCCCGTACACCTGATCCGAGTACCGAGACTGAGCGAAAGCCGAGACCGAAATCATTCTCTTGGACAGCTCCTTGTGCTTGCGTGCGCCCTTCGCAAACCTCGAGAGCTTGCGGATCTTAAAACTTGCTGCAGCTCGCCTCGCTGCCTGCCTGGGTCTACGTTTTGCTATCCTGCCTCGATCCAATCCTAAATCTGGCGCGTTCGGTTTCACCTGAATGCTGATGTTGGCCGCTGCGAAACGCTGGGCCAATTCACGAGCCGCCTGGGGGCACGATGAGATGATGCACGATCTATCTGCCGTCGCCAAGCTGACTGCATGTAGACCATTAACCAGCTGTTGCCCTGCCTTGAAAAGCGTGTCTACTAGCCTCTGTCCTGGTGCCCCACATCGTTGCACGATGTCGTCTACCCAGGTGCGGAGACTTGGCGCTGGAGGAGGGCATCTGGCCACGTCCTCACATATGAAATAGAGCGCACACCTGCCGAGGTCTACAGCTCCTGTCGAGCCTGGAATGAGAGACATACTGGGTTGAATCGCTTCAGAAAACATCCTTCCTCCCTCAAAAAAACGCGGCGACATGTGCATCTGAAGTTCGAGCGTTAAATACATCGCTGGGAAACCTAACGCAAGCGCCTTCGAGAGCACAAGCTCCCACGACAGGGAGTCGTAGAAGCCTTGTGCGTCCCACAGCAGGCTTGCGTGCACGAAATCTGGCATGACTGACTGTTCTGCAAGCTCGTCTTGGAATGCTCTCCACACAGCAACCCTGAGCGCCGATGACCCAGCAACAGCCGTGTCCCAATGACCTGCTCGCCTCTTGCACCACTCAGCTCGCTCAAAATGCCTGAGCCTGCCCCACAGGCCTGGAAGCCACGGCAGTAGGCCGATTGCCCTGTCGGCCTCGCGATTCTTGACTTGCAACATGACTAGGACAGTCATGAGCTGCCGTGGCCAGCAAGCTCTCGCCTCGATGGCGTTATACAGGTCTGTCAACTGCCGAATGGCTGCTGGCGGTAGAAAGGCGAAATCTTTTCTGTTGCACTGATCTATCCCGTTGGCTCGACTTGGCACTCTGGCCATGACTTTCTGGACGTGCTCTGGCTCGAGTGGCGGGAGGGGGTTCTGGATAGCCTGCCTCTGCGCTTCCCGCCATAAAAGAACAGCCTCTGAGGTGCACGCGCGCCCAGCCCCCCACTTGGCGCCCCGCGCCCTCTCTTTGAGTCCGATTCGGCTGCTGGCGTCTGGCGCAGAGGCGGCTCCTGAACGAACCTCCCCCACAAAAACATTCTTTGGCTTGATCATGCTGCGCAGTCCCTTGCCTCCAGCAAGAGCCTGCTTCAGCACCCATTCTTTGAAACTTTGTTGATTCATGCACTGCGACGCTCTGTGAGCTCGGGTTGCGTTATGCTTCGCCTTAAGACTGAAATCTGCTATTTCTCCATCTGAGGCCTTGTCCAAGTGCCCCAGCCCTTCCTTCCAGATACCCCAGAGGCGAGACGAGAGAGGCATGAGGGACGAGGTGGGAAGCTGGCTGGCTAGCTCTCGGACTCTGGCCAAAAGAGACTCAAAACGCGGACCTTTTTTGGGGGGGCAGGCAACTGATTATCTCTTCTAAGAGAAACGCGACTGTGGCCCACCAATGGGCAACTGGATCCGATGCTGAAATGAACGTCGCGCCTTGTGCCCCGGGCTTGAAAACTAGCGGTCGGGCCTTGCCCCGCCCGCGGTAGTCGTTCCGCTTGTGCGGTGGCGCGGCGTGTGCGAGGATGAAAAACTCTTCCATGCGCGATACCCATCGGGCGTATTCCACCCCTCCCGCGAGGGAAGCCGTCCGATCTAACTGGAACGAAAGCGACTGCTCGATATACTCTGGAGGCTTCAAGTTGCTTGTGGCATGGGGGCCTAGCTGCCTCCCGTGCCATAGCTGATCTAACTGGGCGGCAGACAACTGATGGGGCAGGTGATTGAACCCCGTCGCCTCTGGCTGCTCAGGGCGCGCCTGGGACTCAACAGCGCCCTCCTCCTCGCCTCCGCCCGACCAGCCGTCACCACCCCCGAACTCCTCCTCCTCCAAATCGTCTGGGCAGAGATACTCGAGCGTCGGCGGACTCTTGAAAGTAATCTTTTTCCTTGGATGCCTCTGCTGCGCGGGAGCGTCGTCGCCCCCTGCGCCTTTCTTCTGTGATGTCGCAGCTGCTCGCCTCGAGCGCTTGCTGTCTGGATTCTTGCCCCGCTTCATTGGCGGCGGTTGCTGGAACGGTCTGGGCAAGCTCAGAACTCTGCGCAATGCCTCTGTCATGCATACCCTCAAGCGGACGATCAGGCCGTAGTGGCTCTTGCCCGCTCCCGCGATGGGCCCCGCATCTGCCACAACCTCACTAGTGAGGTGGTTTGCTGACGCTGAACAGACTAAAAAATCAAGCATGCGACAAGGCGAGACAGTGCATGTATACTCTACATTGCTGGCTACTCTGATGTCTCCTGCTACTAAATGAGGCCATCCGCTGACCTGGAGCTCCTCTGGCTCACATTTCCAGCCGCCGATGACTAACCACGGTGTGCGAAGGGACTGCAGCAAGGAGCCCAGGCTGGCGAGTTTGCGGGCGCTCTCGCCTCGCAAGCCCACTCCTGTGGCAAGATAGATGCCAAAGATGCCAAACGCCTGTCCTGACACCTTCGTCTGGAAGCCTACAAAGTCGTGAAAATCAACGCCACTGGTGACAGGCTGCTGTCCCTTCTGAAGATCTCGCATGCCCAGCGTGGCGTTGGGCTCGCTGGAGAGATGGCGAAACGATTCGAACTGAAAAAACCTTTATGCAGCCTGCGGATACTCCGCCTGGCCTCATACTGCTCTCCGATGCACGGCTCGGAGTCAAAACTGGCTTGTAACCTGCTCGCGCCCAAACCTCTACATGCTCATCTGCCTCCTCTGGACGCGTGTGTACTTCTGGCAGGACGTAGAAGTCATGCTCGCGCTTCTGCAGGAGGTGCTTGGCTGTGGGTCCGAACCTGGACAGGTTCCTCATGTACAGCGTGTAGTCCCGACTCTGAGCCTCGCTGACGTCAAAGTGACTGCTGGACTCTCTGCCGCACCCGCTGGATCTCCGCGCCCACCTCCTGCTGCAGGGCTTCCTTCTTGTCGGGCACCACTGGGGCGCTCTCGGCTCCAGCTGCTCTGGGCGGCTCGACACTGGCTGGGGCGCCGCTGGGCCCTCCCGCGCCTGCAGGCTGCTGCTCGCCTGGGGGGGGGGGCCTGGCTGCCCACATGCTGCTGAGGAGAGCCGCGAGGAGGCGCAAAAACTCCAGCACTGGGTTGCTCCTCGGTATTCCTCTTCTTCGTCCCGCGCGCGGCCACCTCGGCCATCTCCTTCTGGATGTTCTCAAGGTCGGTGGTGAGGCCTCCCATCGCCTCCCGGCTGGCCTTCTGGAGCAGCGTGTTGACGGCCTCTGACCGCTCCTCCACGATCTTGCGATCAGCCTCCTGGAGTTCCAACCCGTCGAGCAATTTGCCGAAAGAGAACTGTAGCTTGATGCGGGCGACTGCCGTTTCAGAAAAGAACACAGCAATTTCAGAAAAAAATGCCGTTTCACAAAACGCAACAACCTTTTCAACAAAAAACGTTCGTCGTTTCAGAAAAAGCGGGGACCGCTTCAGAAAAAAATGTTTTCGTTTCAGAAACAACGGTACCCGTTTCAGAAAAGGACGTGCAATTTCCGGGGCAGTGCCACTGCTCATCAAATTCAAATTCATACGCCCCTTTGAAGACCCGGCGGACGCTCAGCGGACACGCGACACGGCGATCGCACGAGCAGTGCGGTCGCGGACGGGTGCTCCACGCAGGGCTGCCGGAGGTCGTGGACGCGGAGGCGGGGGGAGAGGTGGTCGCGCTGGAGGGCGCGACCATGCCGACAGAGGCAGGTGCCGGGGGAACACTGGGCGAGGCCGCGGCCGCGGCCGGACAAACGCGACCCCGCCTCCAGCAGCAGTGGTGCCGATCGAGGACGCGGGGAATCAGAAGACCGTCCTCGTTGAAGTGGGGGGGCAAGAGATGCCGTGGGATCTTGGCTCCCCGTGGTCATTCTTGACAGCGCGCGTTCCGAGAGGTTGCGCAGCGGGCGTGATCTACGACGCAGTGGCGGAGCACCTAGCGGCCGAGAGGGCGCTTGCCAGGTCGCGCGGGGGGATCGCGCGTCTCTCTATCGCGTCCGCGCGCGTTCGCGCGAACGCGCACGGGCGTGGTGAGAAATGCAAGCGCCTGCCCCCTCAAGGCACCTACGCGCTTCGAGCTGGCGTGCGTCGGCACCGGGGAAGGCGTGTACACGGACGCCCCGCTCGACGCAGACTGCGAGCTGGAAGTGGTGATGTACGAAGACGTGGACTCACTCGACCTGGCGGGCGAGGGCGCCCCCAGCGACGACGAGGTCCCCATCGACGAGGACGACGACGACATCGAGGTGGTCGTCCAGAGCAGGAAAGACGTGCTGACAACGCTGCTCGTCCCTAGGGGCACCCCTGCACTTGCCATTTACCAAGAAGTGGCTCAGTTGCTGGACGTGCCCTTAATGCAGACCAGGACGCGATAGATACAATTTCATCCTTGCCAACCTTGACAAAGGATTCTTCATAACGCCCGATATGGAAGTGACGGAGCCGCTGCGGCTCGGGGTGCAGAAGGAGGTGGCCGGCGGTTGACGCGCGCTCTCATGCGGGCGCGCACGCGCGCGCTACGGGAGTCGGGATAAACATGGAAAAGTCCGTCGAATGATGAGGAGGGAAGAATTGGGCCCAAGGTGGGAGAAATGCGGGAGTCGGAATCGGAGTCGGAAGTGGAGGAGGACCGAACGGGAATCGGAGTCGGAGCCGGACGAACAGCCGGAGCCGGAGTCGGAGCCGGAAGAGGCCGGAACGGGAGTCGGAATCGGAGTCGGAAATGGAAGAAAACCGAACGGGAATCGGAGTCGGAGCCGGACGAAAATCTGGAGCTGGAGCCGGAGTCAGAGCTACAGGAGGCCGGAACGGGAGTCGGAATCGGAGTCGGAAGTGGAGGAAAATCGAACGGGAATCGGAGTCGGGGCCGGACGAACATCCGGAGCCGGAGTCGGAGCCGGAGGAGGCCGGAACGGGAGTCGGAATCGGAGTAGGAAGTGGAGGAAGACCGAACGGGAATCGGAGTCGGAGCCGGACGAGAATCTGGAGCCGGAGCCGGAGTCGGAGCCAGAGGAGGCCGGAACGGGAGTCGGAATCGGAGTCGGAAGCGGAGGAAGAACGAATCGGAATCGGAGCCGGACAAAAATCCAGAGCCGGAGTCGGAGCCGGAGGAGGCGAACTCCTTCCGTGCCTCTCCCGAATCCAACCCTCCCAATCTCACTCACGCCCGCTTCACTCCCCCGTCGTCCTCCTGCCTCCTCCAGCCTCCTCCGCGCTCCTCCCGAAGCAAAGCACGGCCATGCGGCAACGACCGTTTCAGAAAAAAACGGCGGGGGTCCGGGTGCAAAAGTCCAGGGCCCGCGGTCCAAGGTCGGGCTGAGGCCCAGGGGCCCGGGCAACAAATCGGGGGTGGGGCATTTTTCTGAAACCGCGCGCACTTTTTCTGAAACCTCCCACGCTTTTTCTGAAACAGCGCGCCCTTTTTCTGAATCTGCTCAGCCTTTTTCTGAAACGGCACGCCCTTTTTCTGAAATTGGCCTTTTTCTGAAACTGCTGTAAACTTTTTCTGAAACGGTTGCCACCGAGCTTGATGCCGTCGCGGATGGCCGTGCCGACGTCGATGACTGGGCTCTGCTCATCCTCCTCTTTGTCGGGCAGAACGCGGCGGGCCGCCTCCACCTCATCCTGCTCCGCTGCCACCAGTTCCTCCGTGGCCCTCTCCAGAGCCGTCTGCGCCTCATGGTACTCGTCCTTCGTGCGAAGCCAGCGCTGGCGAGCCTTCTCCAGCGCCTTCGTGGCCTTGCCCACTCGTGTATAGGCCCGCTGCAAGACCGCCGCTGGGCGCTCTGGCGGCGGGGCAGGCTGCTTCGGCGCCAGCAGCTGCAGCAGCTCCTCCGCCTTGCGGCTGGTGCGCGGGTCCTTGTCCTCGCCAGCTATGGCTCGGAGCGCAACCTCGAGGTAAGATGCCTACGACCGCCCCGATGCGCCCCCTGCCCCGGTGCAGCGCTGGCGGCGTCGCCCTGCGCCCCAGGCGCTGAGGCCCCCCAGCCACGCACCGCACAGGCAGGTGCCCGGCAGCAACCGTTTCAGAAAAAGTGCACAGCAGTTTCAGAAAAAGGCCGGTTTCAGAAAAAGGGCGTGCCGTTTCAGAAAAAGGCTGAGCAGATTCAGAGAAAGGGCGCGTCGTTTCAGAAAAAGCGTAGGAGGTTTCAGAAAAAGTGCGCGCGGTTTCAGAAAAATGCCCCACCCCTGATTTGTTGCCCGGGCCCCCGGGCCTCGGCCCGACCTTGGACCGCGGGCCCTGGATTTTTGCACCCGGACCCCCGCAGTTTTTTTTCTGAAACGGTTATGATTGCTGCATGGCCATTCTTTGCTGCGGGAGGAGCGCGGAGGAGGCTGGAGGAGGCGGGAGGACGACAGGGGAGTGGAGCGGGCGTGAGTGAGATTGGGAGGGTTGGATTCCGGAGAAGCGCGGAAGGAGTTCGCCTCCTCCCGCTCCGGTTCCCGCTCCGGATTTTCGTCCGGCTCCGATTCCCGTTCGGTCCTCCTCCACTTCCGACTCCGATTCCGACTCCCGTTCCGGCCTCCTCCGGCTCCGTTTTTGGCTCCGGATTTTCGTCCAGTTCCGACTCCGATTCCCGTTCGGTCCTCCTCCACTTCCGATTCCGATTCGGATTCCCGTTCTGGCCTCCTCTGGCTCCGACTCCGGCTCCGGGTTTTCGTCCGGCCCCGACTCCGATTCCCGTTCGGTCCTCTTCCGTTTCCGACTCCGATTCCGACTCCCGTTCCGGCCTCCTCCGGCTCCGACTTTGGCTCCGGATTTTCGTCCGGCCCCGACTCCGATTCCCGTTCGGTCTTCCTCCACTTCCGACTCCGATTCCGACTCCCGTTCCGGCCTCCTCCGGCTCCGACTTTGGCTCCGGATTTTCGTCCGGTTCCGACTCCGATTCCCGTTCGGTCCTCCTCCAATTCTGACTTCGATTCCGACTCCCGTTCCGGCCTCCTCCGGCTCCGTTTTTGGCTCCGGATTTTCGTCCAGCTCCATTTCCGATTCCTGTTCGGTCTTCTTCCACTTCCGACCCCGATTCAGACTCCCGTTCCGGCCTCCTCCGGCTCCGATTCCAGCTCCGGGTTTTTGTCCGGCCCCGACCCCGATTCCTGTTCGGTCCTCTCCCTGTTCCGACTCCGATTCCGACTCCCGTTCCGGCCTCCTCCGGCTCTGATTCTGGATCCGGATTTTCGTCCGGTTCCGACTCCGATTCCGATTCGGTCTTGTCCACGCGCTCCGGCGTATGGCTCGACCGACCGACCGACCTTCGTTCGCTTCGGATTCCGATTCGGATTCCCATTACGGCCTGTGATTTCTGGGTCATCCCCAAGAACGGGCACGCAATCGGGGGGAAATCAGCCAGAGCATCGACGATAAAAGGATATTTTTTGCCAATGTGCGTACGCGCAACCGAAAAGGAAGGAACAATATGAGGGAGAATACATCAACGATAATGACAAATATTTGCTTGGGTAGGTCTGCTAAACGCACGGCCTATTGCTAAATAAACATATGAAGGCCTATGTACCCAAATAAACGCGCATCCCGGTTACGGATACATGCAATTATGGATGTAGATAGAAACAAATCCATCGCCAAACAATATTTGTAATGTTCCAAATGCTGCGGACGTGGGAGGAACTAGGAAGTAGCATGTAATGAGAGGTGACGTTCGGAAGAAACAGGAGGTGGTAGGAAGGCGCACGGGGAAACAATAAGAACGCTCGTGCCGATTATTTTGACTTCGTTTGTGGATTGTTGTTAAAAAATATTTTTCTATTTTTTCATATGTTTATGTATGTCCTCCTACTACGTTTTGCGGGGTTCGTTGCGACCTCAGCATTGCCGGAAACTAGACATTACCAAAGGAAGGTTTTGAGTTTCAGACAAAAAAACCGACGGTATCCATAGCGTCAGAATGCCCGGATTTTCCGTGTGAGATTGCGGCCGGCACCAAGGTGCTGTCGAAACCAGCGTTGTTTTGTTGATAATCTGAAATATTAGTGGCACATTCTGGCGAAAATCATATGTTGTCCGGAAGGGTTTCCGGTAATATAACCGGACCCGGCAGCATTCCATCTGAAATGTTAGTAGTAGTGGGACGTTCAAGCAATAATCACACAATAGTAATGGGACGTATTCTGTCCGGAATACTTTCCCGTCCCGCATTATTTCCACGACGCCGAAATGATTTTCAATTCAAATACCGCAGCCGTAGATTTAACACAAAACGGCCGGGAAAACGAAA